AGACCACAGCTACCATCTAATACATGTCTGTTGGGTGTATGAGTGTATCAGTGGATGCACTGTGTAGATGAGTCTACCACTGACTGACTTGGTTTGGTGAACTCTTAAGTTCAATGCCTTCCAAGCAGTGTGCTCATCTGGAATGACCCCGTCTGTGGTGTCTGTATTCTGAAATGTTTACTTCCATTTTCGTTTGTAGCATTTTTAGTTTTTTCCTTGAGGCTGATGGGCATAGAAGGAAGAAATGGAAAGAAAGAGTGCTACCTTAGTGGCTATTGAAGTTTGCCTGGGTAGAGGAAAAAAATGCTTGAGGCTAGAATCCCATTCAGAAGGGGAAAGAATGCAGAAGAGAATTTCAAATACTCCTGGAATCCAGACTTTCTGGAGTCATTGAGGCTGGGTGAACTCTAGAAACTATTGCCCTGAGGTAATCCTTAAAATTTCAACCAAAACTATTCCTCGAAGTCTTCTTTGAACCAAAAAATCATTTATCTTAATAAATAAAGTGTGTCTGCCTTGACATACTTGTCTGCCTTTTAAGAAATTATCTCTGTGATTGACAACAGCAACTCAAAAGGTGAGATGAAAAGCTCAGGGGGCAGTGAGTTTGAGTCACTGGTGGTGGAACAGTTTGGAGATGGATGCCAAGGTTGCACAGTGTGAAGAATATATTCAGCGTTATTCAATTGCATGTGTAGAAGCTGCTCAAATGACCTGTGTCTTTGTTCACCCCCCCAAAAAAAATCTTGAGGCCAAATGAACAACAAGAGAGATGAGGTGGGCATTGCCTCTACTATAAGATATAGTCTCTCCAGCAGATGGGGTCCTATCCATCCCTTTACCCATCTATGTATTATTCATTCATCCATTTTTGTGTAACTTCCTATGCATTTTCTTTGATAGGGCTACTCTTTAGGAAAATAGCCCACTCTGTGGCCTTACACCAAGGCTAATAAACCTGGATATACTTAACATTTCATTTTCTTCCAGTGATGGGTGAATAAATTTTCTTTTGTTTCTCCTGCAGATTGTTAAGGCATTAGAACATCTACATAGTAAGCTGTCTGTGATTCATCGAGGTAAGCATGCATTTTTTTTTTAAATTGTGA